AAACCAGCCAGGCACGGTGGCTCAAGCCTGTAATCCCAGCACTTTGGGAGGCCGAGACAGGCGGATCACGAGGTCAGGAGATCAAGACCATCCTGGCTAACACGGTGAAACCCCGTCTCTACTAAAAAATACAAAAAACTAGCCGGGCGAGGTGGCAGGCACCTGCTACAGTAGTCCCAGCTACTTGGGAGGCTAAGCCAGGAGAATGGCGTGAACCCGGGAGGTAGAGCTTGCAGTGAGCTGAGATCTGGCCACTGCACTCCAGCCTGGGTGACAGAGCGAGACTCCATCTTAAAAGAAAAAAAAAAAAGAAAAACAAGGCACAGACAAAAGAAGGGTCTAACAATGGATGTAGAAAAAAAAAGTAAGAGAATGTTCTGAACAACTTTATGCTAATAAAATTGAAAACAAATGGACAAACACTAGAAAAATAAAACTTGCCAAACCAGTTCAAGAATTGGAAAAAATCTGAATGCTCCTATAACAATTTAACAAAATTAAACCAGTAATTTGAAAACTTTCCACAAAGAAAACACCCAGCATAGATAAACAGTTACATTCCTCAAATGCTCAAAGAACAGTTGTCTTAATCTTATACAAACTGTCAGAGAACAGAAAAAAAGAGGATGCTTCCTAACTCATTCTATGAACCCAGCATAACTTTGATACATTAATCAAGAAGGCCAGGTGCAGTGGCTCACACCTGTAATCCTAGGACTTTGAGAGGCTGAGGCAGGAGGATTGCTTGAGCCCAGGAGTTCAAGACCAGCTTGGGCAACATAGTGAGACCCCTTCTCTAAAAAATAAATTTAAAAATTAGCCAGGTGTGGTGGCACGCACCTATGGTCCCAGCTGCTATGGAGGCTGAAGCAGGAGGACTGCATGAGCCCACAAAAAAAATTAATCAAAAGTGTATAAGAAAATAAAAGTATACAGGCCAATTCACTCATAAATACAAAAGCAAAAATTCTAAATAAAATATTAGAAAACTGTATCCAGCAGTGTACAAAAAATAATTTGTGATGGTTACATTATATTTATTTCATAAGTGCAAGGATGGTTTAACATTAGGAAAGTAAATATCATTCATCACATTAACAGATTCAAGAAAAAAAGATCATTTCAAAATATGCAGAAATGGATATGAGATCTTACTAAAAATTCTTGAACTGTACACTTTGAGTGAAGTTATGGTATGTAAATTATACCTCAATGAAGCCATTTAAAAAAGATGCAGAAATAGCAGTTGCTAAAATGTATTACCCATTTATAACTAAAAAAGAAAAACTTTGCAAATATAACCTGATAAAAAAAATACCAAAAATATACAGCCAACATTATTCTGATTAAATGTTAGAAGCATTCTTTTAAAAGTTGGAATCAAGGCAAGGATGTTCACTACTTCTATTCAGCATTGTACTGGAGGTCCTGGCAAGGACACCACAAAGAAAGTAAAAAGATATAAGAATAGGAAAGGAAAAAACAAAATTGTCATTATTTGCAGACAATACAACTGCATATATAGAATCTACAAATTGGCTGGCCCAAGGTAGTGAGTTATCTCAATTGATTGTTCACAGTCAGTTACAGATCAAACTCCTTGTTCCACTCTTTCTCTCCTTCTCACTAGTGTGCTGGACTAGTCTTAGAAAAAAAAAAGAATCTACACACATTGTTAGAATAATTGGATAAATATTAAAAGTCAATCACATTTCTTCACACAAACAAATATTTAGGAAGCATAATTTTAAAAATATACATCATTCATTCTAGCATCAAAAAATAATTAGAAATCTAACGATGTGTGTAAAACTATATGGATAATATTATAAAACTTTATTGAATACTTTTTAAAAACTACTTAAATAAATGGAGAGATATAACATGCTCACGAATGGGAAGAGTTACTATCATAAAGATTCAGTATCACCAGACGCAGTTCTCAGCACTTTAGGAGGCTGAGGCAGGCAGACTGCTTGAACTCAGGAGTTCAAGACCAGCCTGGGCAATATGGTGAAACCTCATCTCTACAAAAAATACAAAAATTGGCAGGACATGGTGGCATGTACCTGTAGTCCCAGCTACTAATTAAAATCCCAACAGGATTTTTTGAAGACTTCAACAAACTTTTTAAAATTTATAGAGATGGGCAAAAGTTCAAGAAATAGCTATAACACACTTAAAGAAGATGAGTTTTCCAAACTCCTGACAGATTAAATATGGAAAGTAACACTGTTTTGTGTTTACAAGGAAATACAGAACATTGTCTCCATTATCTGAGAGTATGGATGAATTTCTTAAACAATTCACAGAAAGCACTGACCACAAAAGAAGAGGTTCATCAAGAAACTATAAAGAAAAGTAAAAGCCAGGTGCAATGGCTCACACCTGTAATCCAAGTACTTTGGGAGTCTAAGGTAGGAGGATCACTTGAGCTCAGTAGTTCAAGACCACCCTGGGCAACACAGGGAGACATCTTCTCTACAAACAAATTAAAAAAAAAAAATTCAGCTGGGTGTGGTGGTGTGCACCTGTAGTCCCAGCTACTTGGTAGGCTAAGGCAAGAGGATAGCTTTAGCCCAGGAGGTAGAGGTTACAGTGAACTGTGATTGTGCCACTGCACTGCAGGCTGGGCAACAGTGAAACCCTGTCTCCAAAAAAAAAAAAAAAAAGACAGAAGTCACAAACAGAAAAGATATTTGCAACATGTATAAGTGCCAATAGTAAAGGACTAATATACAGAATATATAAAGAATTATAATTCTCTTGGTTAAAATTGAACACGTTTTGACACCCTCCTAAAACCCCTCTAAAACTACAGTAAATGAATATTTAAGAGATAAACTCACAAGGATAGTGAGAAGGAAGAGGCAATGGCAACACAATTTTGGAAGCTGGAAAAGATGATAAATAAGTAGTAACTGACTTAGCAGATCTGAGAAAGCTAAATCTAAAGCCAGCAATGGAAAAACCAAGCCATAATTCAACTTAAAACTGCAGAATTTCTGAAAGGCTCAGGAATTGGTAATCCTAGGCTTCTCTGGAACTGAGGATGGGACAGGACCAATGCAAAAATAAGGATTATTTGAAAGCTGTTAAGAAGTAGTTAGGCCAGGCGAGGTGGCTCATGCCTGTAATCCCAGCACTCTGGGAGGCTGAGGTGGACGGACCACCTGGGGTCAGGAGTTTGAGACCAGCCTGGCCAACATGGTGAAACCTACTCTACTAAAAATACAAAAAAAAAAGCCGGGCGTGGTGGCAGGCGCCTGTAATCCCAGCTACTTGGAAGGCTGAGGCAGGAGAATCACTTGAACCCGGGAGGCAGAGGTTGCAGTGAGCCAAGATGGCGCCATTGCACTCCAGCCTGGGTGAGAAGAGCGAAACTCCATCTAAAAAAAAAAGCAGTTAAACCCACTAATCACCCCTTCTATTTCATGCCACAGGGTAACTGCCCACCTCTGTCTCTGCTAAAGTCAGGAGACTAATTTTTGGCAAGGACCTCAGGACTAGGGATACCAATTGAGGACAGGGTACTATTTTGAAAACAAGTGAACCTCTATATATTAAATGCTAAAATCCCCAGCGCAATCTTCAGCACTAGATTCTCAGAACATTGGCAGCTAAGTCATTAACCTCAGGCCAAAGGTTGAAGGAGTCTTTTCTGAAGAATCTCATCAGCCAAGAGGAAAGACCTACAGATATTGACATTAGAGTTTGCAAAACATTGTCCAACGAGATCATCCTACAGTGATGCTGATGGTGGACAAAGCCCACACACAGCTCAAAGCCTTCAATAAGCTTTTATAATCTGCTACTTATCAACAGGAGCAGACAAAGAGGAAACATCTGGGGAAAGCATCTAACAGAAAAATTGATGATGTCTATGAATTCTTCTAAATGACTGTTTTGTTTTTGTGTGTGTATGTGTGTTTAGTGTGTAAGTGGGTATATCTGAGTGTGTATGTATGAATATTCATCTATATGTGCATCTATGGGTGTATCTGGGTACACAGGGCTGTGTGTGTGTGTATGTGTGTGTGTGTAAAGCTCAGAGAAATGCTGAGTCACAGGACCCATGCACCCACATCTGCCATATTCTGCCCTCCACCCACATAGAAGTGTGAATGTGCAGGATCTGCTCACAGAATAATGTCAGCTGGGCACAGTTGATCCCAGAAGCCCCTGAGCAGAGAGATTTTCAGGATGGTTGGAGCACTGAGAGCAACCAGGTCTCAGCCTTGGCCAAGAGAAGGGCGATGTGTGGTGGCTCATGCCTGTAATCCCAGCATTTTGGGAAGCCAAGATGGGAAGATCCCTTGAGTCCAGGAGCTCGCCACCACACCCAGCTAATTTTTGTATTTTTAGTAGAGACAGGGTTTCACCGTGTTGGCTAGGATAGTCTCTATGTCTTGACCTCATGATCCGCTAGGATTACAGGTGTGAGCCACCACGCCCAGCCGGGAATTACATTTTAAAGTAGGTGCCCCTCCAGCACTGTCCTTCATTTTCCTTAAGATGCCAGATTCCCAGAGAGCCTTTCCTGTCCAAGACACCTACATACGGCAGCCAGCTCCCAGGGTAGCCCCCTTTTCTGAGACTACAGATTGTGCCAGGGCCTGATGCACTGTTGGCAGAGACCCAGTCCTGCTCCCAGGCAGCATACAGTCTAGGAGAAAAAGGGAAGGTATATGTAGCTCTGACCTTCATGAGCTCCCCGCGAAATGGCAGAAATGAGAAAGTCAGAAAACTACTCTGACTTAAGGCCACTGTTTGGCTCCAAGCCCCAAGCTTGGATGAAAAGAAAGGAAGAAAGAGTAATTCAGACAAGAGAACTGTGCAGAGGATCCAAGGCTGGCATGGGAATCCCTCTGACATGGGGAGGGGGGTTGGGAGACCCACCTGGGCTGACTTTCTCAAGAGAGGCTGGATCTAGTTCCAGCAAGAGCCCAGGGCTGGGGTCTCTATGCCCCTAACCACTTCTCCCCTCTCCCCTTGCCCAGGGTCTGACTCATACCATGGAGCAACATGTGGATCCCGAAGCCTTGCAGAAGATGGCCAAATGTGCTGTACAGGACTACACTTATAGGGGGCCCATATCAGGCCACCCCTACTTGCCTGAGAAGTACTGGCTTTCTCAAGAGGAAGGTAAGGCCTCCCCTTTGCTGACCCCTAAAATGACGCCCAACCTGAACTCAACCACCTGGATCCTGACCTCCATCCTGATTCTCTCTTTTTTTTTTTTTTTTTTTTTTTGAGACGGAGTTTCGCTATTGTTGCCCAGTCTGGGTGCAATGGTGTGATCATCTCGGCTCACTGCAACCCACTTCCACCTCCCAGATCCAAGTGATTTTCCTACCTCAGCCTCCTGAGTAGCTGGGGCTACAGGCATGTGCCACCAGGCCCCGCTAATTTTTGTATTTTCAGTAGAGACAGGGTTTCACCATGTTGGCCAGGCTGGTCTCGAACTTTTGACCTCAGGTGATCCACCTGCCTCGGCCTCCCGAAGTGCTGGGATTACAGGCCTGAGCCACATGCCCGGCCTCCATCCTGATTCTATGTCAACTTTATCTCCACCCATGACCTAGATATCTTCCCTAACCACCCCCCACTCCCAACCACCTGACCTGACCCTGGCCCTGGAGGAGATGACCTAGGCCCTGCCTTTTGGGGTTCTTCTCTGTAGGGAAAAAGAAGCTGGAAGGGCCCTGGGTCCCATACTTAGAGAGTTGGAGAAAGGATTAACCTCCCACAAACAGATCCCTCCAAGTGCATTCTGGATGCCATCTCCTCCCATCTTCCCAGCCACCCTCCTCCCATCAGCTCCCTCCATCTCTCCTGCATCCCTCTGCCCCACCACACCTCTTTCCCTCAACCTGGAACCTTCTCTAGTTTCTTCCCAACTAAAAATTATCTCTTGCTCCTCTCCTCAATAGCCTAGGTTCTCAGAAACGTGGTCCATACTCACTGTCTCTATTTCCTCACCCTTTCTTATACCTTATGAGAAACTGTCTTTCTCATTTGCTTGGATGTCTATAATCTGTCTAGCTGTACATTCGAAAAGAATGTACAGCTATGACTCTGGTCTTATTCACAGCTGTGCCTCTCCATTGAGCACAGCGCCAGGTTTCATAAGTCTTTGTGGCATGGACTGAGAATTCCCAATGGAAGTTGGGAATGTGCATCTCCTACAATGAAACGATAAATTGCTCTTGCGTGGCTCTGATTACCAAATCCACAGGACTCTGCAGTCTTTACCCTCTGAGACCTTTACCCTCCTACACCAATGAATTGCACTCTTCTGACCACTCTCTACTTGTTTTGTTGTTGTTGTTGTTTTGTATGTTAATCCTCCAGGACACATGCTATGACCCCACTCTATTTCTTGAAACAACTTCCTCCTCAGTTTATCTGATGCCTCCCTTTCCCGTGCATCCACTGTGGAAACATAGGGTTCCTCAGGATGTTATCCTGCACCCTCTTCTCCCCTTGCTCCTCCTCCAAGGCCATTTGATTTAACACAAGGCTTTAATTACTGACAGCTTCAAATCCTAATTTCCAGATTTGTCCTCTCACCTGAATTCCACTCTTCTTCATATGCTTATAGTCATCTTGACCCGGATGTCCCCAAACACCTCAGTTTCAGTATGTGCAAATCGCCATCCCCGAACTCCAAATCCCAGCACTCCACCTCTCCCCTCACATAGCTGCTCTTTGCTAGGGCTTCCTCCACACTGTCTCACATATGTATTCTTTCAGACTGTTGGATCATGGAGGGCCTTGTAGGACAGGCTTAGATGACTGGGGGCTAAGGGGGACAAACCCTATAGGGTTTTAAGTAGGAGAATGTCTTGGTCAAATTTTCATTTGTGAAAAAGTACCACAGCTGCTATGTCAAGGCTGGATTATAGGATTTCAAAGGTGAGGCAAGGAGAATAGTAGAATAATCATAATAGTTTTTTATGTGCCAAGCATCATTCTAAATGTCTTACATATACTAACTTATTTAAACCTCACAGCAACCCTGTGAAGTAAATAGTACTATCATCCCCATTTTAAAGTTGGAGAAACTGAGACACAGCAAAATTAATTAACTTGGTCAAGGTCACACAGATAACAATTGGCAAAACTGAAATTTAAACACAAGTAGTCTATCTGCAGAGATAGGTATCTATTAACCAAGACATTATATTGTCTCCTGGTTAAGGTGCTGAGAAGATATGAAAGTGAGATCATGGGGTACTGGAAGACAGAGTAGATTCAAGTTATTGATTGATCAATTGATTGATTGAGACGGAGTCTTGATCCATCACCCAGGCTGGAGTGCAGTGGCACAACCTCGGCTCACTGAAACCTCTGCCTCCCTGGTTTGAGGGATTCTCGTGCCTCAGCCCCCTGAGTAGCTGGGTTTACAGGTGCATGCCAACCATGCCCAACTAAGTTTTGTATTTTGGTAGAGATAGGATTTTGCCATATTGGCCAGGCTGATCTCAAACTCCTGATCTCAAGTGATCTTCCTGCCCTGGCATCCCAAAGTGCTAGGATTACAGGCATGAGTCACCTTGCCTGGCCAGATTCAAGTGATTTTGAAGGAGGCAGAATAGGCAAACCTTGGAGCCTAGAGTAGAAGATGAGAGAGAGGGAGGAATTGGGAAGAGGCCCCTTGTCCAGGCTGGCTGATTCAAAAAGGGTAGTAGCAGGATGAAAAGTGGCTGGCACAGTGGATTCAGACTAAACTCAGAAGGTTGCCTTAGGTGGGACATGGGCTACATCTCAGTGTTTAAGACAAGTGTAGGCCTGGCTGGGTTTGGGGTCTGGCTTGAGGACAGTCTGTGAGGGTCAGCTTTGTGCCGGGAATCGGAAGAGAAACATGTAGGGGATCCCAGATCCTGGAGTAGAGTAAGAAGTAACACTATTTGACATCTCCACTCCTATTATCCAGCAGACAAATGCAGCCCAAACTACCTGGGCAGTAACCGGTACAACACATGGAGGATGGAACCTTACAACAGCAGCTGCTGTAACAAGTATACCACCTACCTTCCTCGGCTGCCTAAGGTATCTACTGCACCCTGCACAGATGCCTGGGGACTGGGACACGCATACCCCACCACCTCCCAAACCACAGTGACTGATATTTCACCATTAGGTCATCATTGCTTTCCCAACAAATGCACCAGGGCTCTTCCCCATCTGTGAAACTAGAGTTTGTATTTTTTTTTTTTTTTTTTTTTTTTTTTTAGATAGAGTCTCACTCTATCACCCAGGCTGGAGCGCAGTGGCACAATCTCGGCTCACTGCAACCTCTGCCTCCTGGGTTCAAGCAATTCTGCTGCCTCAGACTCCCGAGCAGCTGGGATTATAGGCATGTGCCATCACACCTGGCTAATTTTTGTATTTTTAGTAGAGTCGGGGATGTTGCCATGTTGGCCAGGCTGGTCTTGGACTCCTGGCCTCAAGTGATCTGCCTGCATCGGCCTCCTAAAGTGCTGGGATTACCTGCATGAGCCACTGCGCCAGGCTGGGTTTGAATTTTTTTAGTTGCAAAAGGAACCCAGAAGTGGGGCTGTGCTGGCCCCCTGGCTCTCAGTCTCTGGGGATTGGGTGCCCTGGGCCCCAATCCCTGGCTGGGCTCTGTAGGGACGTGGCTGGTGTGCACTCCATGATATGCTACTTTTCCGAAGCTTGCCAGCTGGCCCCTCCCCATATAGTCTGGCCCCTGTGATACTGGGGCTAGCCAAAGAGTCAGTGATACACTGCATCTCCCTGCTCCACCTTCTCCTCCTTTGTGATGTGAGCACAGACGGAAGGAGGAAGACCAAGGCTACTTAGTAGCAGTGCAGATACAGGAGAGTCTTCCAAGGACATAGGAGAAGGTCCAGCCACGGCCACAGACTCAAGGGCACCCGAAAGGACCCAAAACCAGAGCCGGGGCTCTTAACTGCAGGCTGATGGCTGACCCTGGGTTGATGAACCCTTTTGAATTAGAACTTCCTCAAGAATCAGAATCTTTCACAAGTTCTTCACGGAATGGGCAAGCAATATTGAAAACCCCCTATTAGAGAGACACCCAGACACAGCTAAACAGAGTAAGCTAGACAAGGAGGGGTAAGATCAAAGGCAAACGCTGAGACAGGATTGTCACAGGCCAAGGAGCCAAACCTCATGCACCTTCAGCTCTCCCCATCCCACCCCGCCCCTGTAGGCAGCGTAAACACGTTGCCAGGCGACAGCCGCAAACACTCAGAGCCCTGGAGAGGTGGGGAGCTGCTGAAGGGCGGGAGAAGGCGCGGCGTGGCGATAGGTCTGGGTGTTCTGGGAGGACCCCTAAAAGGGAGCAGCTCTGCCAGGTCAGAGCTTGAGGTAGCATGTGTGCCACTTCCAGGAGGCCGGGATGGAGACAGCAGTTCGAGGAATGCCCTTGGAATGCCCTCCTAAGCCGGAGCGGCTCAATGCCTACGGTAAAGAGTGGTAGTGGGGCGTTGGAAAGAACGGGTGGGGAGGGTAGGGGAAAGCCGGGAGGAGGGCGGGATGGGGACCTGAAGTATGGGTAGGAGGCCGAGGGTCCTGGAGAGGATGGAACCCTGAATCTGTCCGTCCCTGCTTTTGTCTCCGCCTCACTCTGTGACCCGGCCTCTTCCCATCCCTGTGCATCTGTCTTGGGGTCTCCTGCGCTGGGGACCCGCGGGCGCAGAGCGCGAAGTGATGGTGAACATGCTGAACTCACTGTCGCGGAACCAGCAGCTGCCGCGGATCACGCCCCGATGCGGGTGCGTGGACCCGCTGCCCGGCCGCTTGCCCTTCCACGGTTACGAAAGTGCTTGCTCAGGCCGCCACTACTGTCTGCGTGGGATGGACTACTACGCCAGCGGGGCGCCCTGCACCGACCGCCGCCTGCGGCCTTGGTGCCGGGAGCTACCGACTGTAAGGTTCGCAGGGCTCCGCCCGCCTCAGCCGGGCTCCACCCCACACAAGCCCCGCCCCAGAACCCCGCCCGCTTCCAGCTCGGCCCGCCTCAGTGCCGGCCCCCAGCCTGCTCTAGCACCGCGCGGCAGGCTCTCGACGCCGCGCCGTGTCCCGCCCTCGGGCTCCAAGGCCTGAACTAACAACTGAGGCGGGAGAACCAGCACGAAGGTTACTCCAAGTCCCCGACCCCTGTCCCTCTCAAACTGGGCTCAAGGTCAGCCTGGCCTCTCTATGTGCTCTGGAGGTCCCGCCGGAGGTTTTTGAGGAAGAAACCCCGCACATCAGTGGCATCCTCTTCCCACATCTCCTTGGCCCTGCCCCCTTCCCTAGACACCTGGCCCTAGAGACGCAGGTTCTAGCCTGTGGAGTGCCCTGCGTTCTCAGAAAAATGTCCTCTCTTGCTGGGCCCCCGTCACCGTCGGTAGTGGGTGCGGTCATTCGCGGGGGCTACGTGAGCCAGGAAATGGTGACCACTTTACCAGAATGGCTCTGGCCTCCTCGGATCCCGCACCATCTGCGGAGGTAGCCACTCTCCCGTGTTATTGCTAAGAAAACGGGTCCGAGCGCACAGCTGGAGCCCAGACTGCAGCGCGGCATTCGTCCTGCACCCGGCGGCAGCCAAGCCTGGGGGAACTTTGTCCGCGGTAGCCCTGAGAGCTGTGCAGTGGGGGTCCGTAGTGATCCCCCGCCCCTCTCCAGGCCGAGAGAGCCTGATTCATTGTGCAAGACTGAGTCTTGTCCCTCTCAAAGGCATAGGGGAGTGGGAAAGTGTCTGAGCCTCTAGGAAGCTCAGAAACGATGCCTCATCCTAGTGCTGGAGAAATTGCTGTCCAGTGGCGGGGATCCGGTGGTTCCAGGTCCTCAACGACCGGAGCCCAACCCTCCCCAGGGACCAGCGCTCTTCCCTGAACAGCAGAAATGAGGCCTTGCCGGAAGGGAGACTTCCAAGGGGGGTTCCCGAGTCGGTGCTGCAGTGGGGGTTTTGAAGGGTGAGAAAGGAGAGGAGGATTTCCGAGCCTGAGACAGACACCTTAAGTGCCGCCCAGGGGCTTGATCTAAGTCGGGGGATGAGAGTCAAAAGGCCCAACCCCTCCCTGCTCGCGGCTTCCTTCTTCTCCAGTTGTGTACCTCCCTACGAGCACCGGCCCGGAATGCAGTGTGCTGTTACAACTCCCCCGCCGTCATACTACCCATATCCGAACCTTAGGTAAGTCTAACGGGCACACACTCATTTGCACACGCACCCTGAAGTTTTGGTGAGGCGGGGCTGGGGGAGGATGGCTGGTAGATGGGATGAGAACGCCCCGCTGCGGTGCACTGACAGGCAGATACCACCAGGGGGAGCTAGTGCCATGGAGCAGTCAAAGGTGGTAAGGACAGAGGACCTTAGGACAGGGCTGGGAGGCCTGTATTGAAGGGTTACAGGTTGGCAGTGGGCTTACAGCCAAAGGTGTTGGGTTCAGAGCTTGAAGTAACGAGTAAGAAGTCGATGTTAAGGAAGAAATATTGGGTATCAGCAACTTAACAGTAGAACCTAAGGTCAGGAGGTCAGTATTGGAACCCAAGTTCAGTGCTATAGGCAAAGTGTAGGGATAAGGTTAGCATTGCAAACTGGAGTCAGATATTCACTTTGACATATGAGGATCCAAAAGGGCTGACCCATCTCTTCCTGTAGATGGGACACAAGTCACTTCAAGAAGTCTGGTGGTCCCCAGAGAAACAACTATGTTATCCATCCTGAGTTTGTGTCTGAGACCTATCCTGACTATCGTTGCTGGTAGAGCCTGGGCTTGCTGGGCCACGGGGACAGAGCAATAAATAAACTCTTCACCCCCAAAGCCTGCCTCCTGTGTCCTTACCCAGCAGAATCTGGAAGTGAAGGGCCTGTCACTCGGGCCTCTACCAAACCCCTTCAACTGAGATGCAATTTTTCTCAAAGTCACCCTTCCCTGAGCCCTTCCAACCCCATCATCTCAGTATGTCCCTGAGTGCCCTCCTGACACAGAACAGTAGCCCTATATCCAGCTGCTGTCCTACTCCCCTGCATCCCAGAGCCCAAACGAATGTGTCCACCCTGCAATGCAGGCAGTAGCCATCTACTTCCCACCCCACGAAGACCCTCCAGCTAACATTTCTTCAGTATGCCCCCAAACTTAGATGCCCTCCCACTCATCAAAGGACCCAGGATCCTTCCTTCCACAGTCAAAGCCGTATCCCTACACCCAAAGCTCTTGATCTTTGCTTCCAGGAGTCCCTATCACAGCCTCCCAAAAGCCTCTCTGTGCTCAGACACCCTTGCTGCAAAGGTGTGTCCCCCATTCCAAGTCCAACTGGTGAAAACATAATTTTGAAGGGTCTCATGACCACGAAATTTCAAGTTGCAAAACAAAGCCCTGTTTCTCTGCCCCTCAGGGAGCGAGAGGGGCCATTCTAAAATCTCTGGGATCTTCAGTATTTTCCTTTCTGCATCAATTGATATGAAACCAGCTAGGTCCAGTGGCTCACACCTGTAATCCCAGCACTGTGGGAGGCTGAGGCAGGAAGATCACTTGAGCCCAGGAATTCGATAACAGCCTGGGGCAACATAAGGAGACCCCTTCTCTACAAAAAGTTTAAAAATTAGCAGGGTATGGTGGCACGTACATGTGGTCCCAGTTACTCAGGAGGCTGAGGTAGGAGGGGATAGCTTGAACCAAGGACACTGAGGCTGCAGCGAGCTATGTTCGCGCCACTGCACTCCAGCCTGGGGGACAGAGCGAGACCCTCTCTCAAAAAAATAAAATATGACCCGACGTGGTGGCCCATGCTTGTAATCCCAGCACTTTGGGAGGCTGAGGCAGGTAGATCACCTGAGGTCAGGAGTTTGAGACCAGCCTGACCAACATGGTGAAACCCCGTCTTTACTAAAAATGCAAAATTAGCTGGGTGTGGTGGCACGTGCCTGTAATTCCAGTTACTTGGGAGGCTGAGGCAGGAGAATTGCTTGAACCCGGAAGGCAGAGGTTACAGCGAGCAGAGATCGTGCCATTGCACTCCAGCCTGGGCAACAAGAACGACACTCAACAATAAATAAATATAAAAATAAAATAAAAAAGAAATAAAACCTCAGAGTCTTGCCCAGCCCCCCGGGGAGAAGGGCATGGCGGGGCACGCCCACTTTTCCGCAGCTTGGGCGTTTCTAACTAGAGGCTGTAACTTAGGAGGAGGGGCTGGACCCTATAAATAACTAGTCTAGGGGTGGCGGTTGGGGAGGCGAGTGACATTGCAAAATGCCGAGCAGAAACCGGTCTTCTCAGTCCCTGACCTCGGACACCGCTGGTTTGGTCCGGTGGGAACCGACAGCTTGGGCTCCCGGCAGGTTGGAACTACAGCTCCCTCCGTGGGGCCCTTGATTGGAAGCACCCTGCATTGGGCGCTAAGATAATCGCGGAATTCCGCCACCACTTTTCCACATGGAAAACTGAGGGCTTGTGAGAGCGTTATACCGATATGGCCTCCACCTGCCCAAATCAGGAAAAAAGGAATTCCAATGGCGAGCCCTGCTCCTTTACCCTGCAGCTCTCTCCCTCTCATTCTCATTTCAAACCTAGCCTAGAGGTGCAAGAACCCCAACCTTCCGCAGCTGCTCCTTTCTGCAGAACTACATGTCCCAGCAGGCCTGGGGTCGAGCCCAGCCCGCTTGCGGTTAAGCAGTGGCCCAGCAGGGGCGGGCCCGCCGGCGGGAGTCGGAGACTCGGGACGCAGGACTGAGCAAGCCCGAAATGCCAGGGGCAGAGCACAGAGCAGTGGCAGGAAGGTGGGGCTGAGGGGCGGGGCCTCAGGTCCGCCTGATAACCTGGGAGGAGGGGTCGAACGTCAAGGGCAGGGCTGGACTCTGAGGCCCGAGGCGAGACTGGATGACTGGGGCGTGGCCGAGGAGCCCCAGGGCGGGGCCCGAGGAGGGGCTCAGCTGTACCCTGCCAGGCAGAGCCCCGCGCGGCGCGGTGGCAGCTTCACTCTGGTTCAAGCGCAGGGGATCGGCGGGAAGCTCCTTCACCCCCGGTTCTGCCGGGCTGTAACTGCAATGGGTGAGCCCAGCGGGAGGGCTGTGGGAGGCGGGGGGCTGCTGAAGGAGCACGATTCCTGAACTTTCGCTCCCACCGATGAATGGGTGGAGCGAGCCTGAACACCTGGGCCCATTTCACGGCCGCATTCCCGCCAGGCGACAGGTCCCTTGACCTCGGTCGGCCCCTCGGACAGTATAGCCTTCGGGCGGGCTGCTCGGGTGGCTGTGCAGTATTCCAGTCTGTGTAAGCAGTCACTCGATCCCCGCGGATCCCGTCGCCGGGCAGGAGAGGGAGATGGGCCGGATCGAGTTGCCTTTGATATTTCCATCCCCCCTCTGGGAACTGTGTTCAACTAACGATTCTACTTGGAATGGATTCCCCTCAGCTGAGCCGGGCGTGGCCCTCCCCCTTAGACCAGACTAGCCGTGGCAGCCAAGACTGAGGTTGAGGGTCCAGTGGGGAAAGACTCAGCGGGCAGAGCCCAGGGAGGCCCACCCTGCAGACTCCACCTGCTAGCACTAGCCTTGGGTTGACTAGATGGCGGAGGCAGCAGATTAGAGGTCTCTGGCACCACTGTTAACACCAGAACCACAGACTTCCTCCCCCAAAGTCCCGGTACCAGATGCCATTAAAATTGCCCTCTCTGCTGCCCCTAAGAGGCTCTCGTGGTCGGCATGGAGCAAGCAGCAGCACCAGCCCTTGGAAAGACAGGCCTCACCATGCCCATCTGATGGAAGCCGGTCCCACCAGCTCAGCCCCAGGGCTCCTTTCTGCTACTGCATTCAGGCAGCCAGGTCAGATCATTATCTCCCATCTCCTAAAACTTAACACTGTGGGGAGCTGAGCTGGGATTTTAGATCCAGGCAGCCTTGCTACCTGGCTAACTTCAGACAAGTTCCTTTTTCTGTTTGGGCCACGTTTCCTCATCTGTAAAATGGTCACTGTACTATGTCTGCTGTTCCACATTGTTGATAGAACTGGATGCTGTGGTGGCATTTGGGACACTATCATGGTGCCTGGGGTGGGTGGGTGCCCAGGCCTGTGGGCTTCTGTCTTTCATCAAAGAACGTCAGATTCCAGAAAATTAAGATTCTCAAAACCTAACTATTGGAAAGGCTTTTGAATCCACCTTGGTGGCCTCTTCCTGCCTCCAGGCCTCATGAGATAGGCTGACTTCATATGAAAGTTTTGAGGATGAGGAAGTCTCTCTCCTCTTCAGATACTGACCCCCTCTCTCCTTATTTCCTTGGTGCCCAGAATGGGGCTTTGGTTATCTTGAATGAATGAATATAAACTCACAGGTATGATCTGAACCACCTAAGGCCTTCTTTGGGTTCTGCTCAGCTTGAGGGCATCAGCTAAAGGCCACTGGCTGCATTTTCCAGGAGGGGTTTTCTAAGCTGTATCTATACAGGAATGGGGAGGAAAGCTAAGTCGTTGTAGACTGAGAGAAAGGGAATAAGAGTCTGTTCCAGACAAGCTTAGGCAGCTGGGGGCAGAGGGCACTGAGAATGAGGCCCTGAGCTAGCACCATGTGGGGAGTGCCTATGGGAGGAGCTGTGTATTGACATGTAGGATCAAATTCTGCTCTACACCTTACATTCTTGCATGGGGGATGTGAAAAACCTGAGTAGTTCCGGCATCCCCTTGGAAGTCCCTGGGGACTTAGAGACAGACACTGGCATCTGGGAGGAGGCTAATTATTATTTGCCAGTCTCTTTCTCTTCCTCTGAGCTGGAGCAGTTGGGCAACCAACTGTCTGGCTGTGTGTATGCAAGTATGTGCACCTGGGTGGTGCTATTTCTTTGTTGGACTCTGCTCTGAAGCCTGAGACAGGAACGGTCAGTGGCCTTGAGTGGCAGAGTAGGACACAATTCTTCCCCTGAGCCTGTGTTTCCCTGCAGTCATATCTGTTTTTGTTGTTGTTGTTGTTGTTTGTTTTTTGTTTTGTTTTGTTTTGTTTTGTCACCCAGGCTGGAGTGCAGTGGCACAATCTCGGCTTACTGCAGCCTCGACCTCCTGGGCTCAAGTGATCCTCCCACCTCAGCCCCCCAAGTAGCTGGAACTACAGGTGCGCAACACCATGCCCGGCTATTTTTATTTTTTTTATTTTTGGTAGAGACAGGGTTTCACCATGTTGCTCAGGCTGGTCTCAAACTCCT